AACAAAAATATTAACATTCCAAATTATAGCATTAATTACAAATCAAGAACAATTGTGTTTTTTCACTCGCTATTTAATTATTTAGGACTAATCTCATATCCAAACTTATACATATAACTAATTATTAGAAAATTATTAGAAAGTTAAATTTTAAAAATAAAAAGATATATTTAAAGGTGTATTTGACAAATAAAAATGATTTTTTTAGTAAAAAGAAAAATTTTGGATAATGTAAAATTTTCAAATAAATATATCTTAAAAAGATTTAGATAACCAATAATTTTTTAAATAAATTGATTTAATCCATAAATAAAAATAAGAATTAATTTTATTTATTTAAATAAAATCTTATCAAAATAAAAAATAATAATTTTATCCCTTTAATTATTTTAAATCTAAATTAATTTTTCATTTAAATTTTAAAAATTTTGAATAATTAAATAAATTTTGAAATTTATTTTTTGATAAATAATCTAAAATTAAAAAAATCTTGTATATCATTATAAAAAAAATTTTAATAATTTTTAAAATATAAAAAAAAATTATCCACGTAAATATTCACATCAACAAATCTTATTTCATATATATATATATATATATATTAGATTACACTCTTCGTATGAGAAAAAAGTATTGGGATTAAAACATTTTGACTAATAATTTTTCCTCTTAAGATAATGACAAAATTCGAATTCTCAGCCTAGAAATGTTATTTCCAACTCAACTGTAATTCGTATTTTCGTCGAACGAACGTAGACTTTTTTTTTTTTTTTTAATTCTTAAAGCTCTCCTTTTGCCACGTTGCCGTAAATCGGCCGGCCAAACGAAACGGATCCCGTCCTCTTCCACCATCGTCGTCAACGGAACGAAAGTCAATTTTAAAGCTAATCCAAAATTTCCTCAACAACCAAACGGACCATTCTCTCTCAATATCCAACCCAAAACTCTGATGGCTCCCAAATTTTAGGGCAATTTTCAATTTTTTCCCTCTCTCGGACCTCAATCCCAACCCGGTTTATACGTTCTTTCTTTCCCATGTGTCGATTCTTCCATCGTTTTCTTCTATCGTTTTTTTTCTGTGTTTTAGGGTTAGGGTTTGGCGTAGATTTTGGTCAAGCATTCAAAGCCCCCGTTAGTGTCAAAGATGTTCTCCCGGTGCTTCCGCGCCAGATATCTTGGCCGGTGTTGAAAAATCTTCACAGCGCCGTTGACTTGTTGCCCGCTTATGTTGGATCAGTTACGACAGCAATGGGTCAATTGATTGGAAAAGAGCTTGCTTTACGAAAACAAGGCTCGTCTCGAGTTGATGGAGAGCGATCGCATCAATTCGGGATTGGGCGGTGGTGTTATTTATCTCAGGGTTCGTGTCTTTGGCCTATTGATCACTATGACTGTGGTTATAATTGAAGTTTTTAACCGCAATTAAAGTTCTTGAAAAGTTATTAGTGATTTTCATGTGTCTCTTTGTTGATGTCTTTTGAGTTAAATTACATTTTCTTTCAGTTGGTTTAGAGTGTGAAATAATGACTTGTTTTTTCTTCCTAATATTACAATGCTAATTATGGGTTATGGAATTTATTTAAGGTTATTCATGTATGTTTAGTAGACTATGGTTACTGATGTTGTAATAAGTTTTAGCAGCTTTAAATACTTTGTATAAACTTGGAATCTTTTTATTTTCCTTATTAGACTTCAAATCCCAAATTGAAATTTTGGTTGGTATCTCTTCTCTTGAGTCTCCAAGATAAGGGTGATTGTTTAATTTGTTTTACATACTACGGTTAAATTTGGAGTGTTGATTTTCGTTTTGAACTATAAAAAATGTTCTTTTACAGACATCTAAAGCGCACAGCTGGACCTGTATGGATCTTTATGTTTTTGCAACACCTTACAGGGTTACTTGGGATTACTACTTTTCTGCTCGAGAGCACACATTGAAATTTGATTCTTGGGAAGACACTGCTGAGTTGGAATATGTATGTTTTGATTAATTTTATGTCATTAAATATTATTGATAACATGCTTAACGCATGGAAATGACAATTATGATTCATTTTTGAGCAGGTAAAGCGGAATGGGATCTCTGTATTTCTAATGCCATCTGGAATGCTTGGCATATTGCTTTCTTTAGTAGATGTGTTGCCTCTGTTTTCTAATACTATCTGGGGTCAGAATGCGAACCTTGCTTTTATGAAAACACGCATGGGTGCTTCATTTGAAAAGCATCCTAAGCCATGGCGTGCAATGATAAATCCAGAATAAGTGCATTCTGGTGACTTTTTGGCAGTGTCAAAGATCCATGGTTGGGGGGGGGGGGGGGGGGGGATTTGAGACATTAGAAAAATGGGTGACTGGAGCGTTTGCTGGTCATACTGCGGTTTGCTTGAAGGATGACATGGGTAATCTATGGGTTGCTGAATCAGGACGTGGAAATGAAAAGGTATGCTATAAATAACACGTGAATGCAGATTGTATATTTATTTATTTATTTGTTTCTCTTTGCTTCCTTTCCTCTTCATTAGTCCTACGATTTCCGGTGAGAGGAAAATTTATAGGTGTTCAAATGCTGTCCAGGATTCGCTAACTTATGGTTTTGATACCTTATCTAGTTGATGTATGATGTATCATCACCCTTTAACTATTGTCAGAAGTTGATCTCACCGTATCAATTTGACTTCAACTTTTTTGTTGGGCTCCTTCCTCTCCCTCTTCCTTTGGTTGGGTTGAGAGGTATGCAGGAGGAGAGTGTTTTGAATTAGAATGAGCGAGGTTGTGAAAATTTGGTATGATTTGGTAGGTACTTTTGCCTAGGAAAGAAAATATATGAAGATACGAGATACACAAATTAAAAATTGGGATTTTTAATAGAGATTATGGTTGCCATGTTATTGAGATATTTTATTTAGGGCTTTCTTTCTTATGCCATTTGCTTGCATGAATTTTGCAGGGTGAAGAAATTACAGTGGTTATTATTCCATGGGATGAATGGTGGGAGTTGTCACTGAAGGACAGTTTTAATCCACACATAGCCTTGCTTCCTTTACATCCAGATATACGTGCAAAGTTCAACTCCACCGCAGCTTGGCAGTATGCTCGGAGCATGTCAGGCAAGCCATATGGCTATCACAACGTGATATTTAGTTGGATAGACACTGTAGCTGACAACTATCCCCCACCTATTGATGCTCACTTGGTAGGCATCTTCTCTGATCATTCTCTGCATCTTGAGTATGCTCTGCTGAAGTTTTGCTCAGGATGAGCAGATGGATTTACTGGCAAAACATTGAGATACTGAGCTTGCTAAATGAAGGTTGTTTCCCAACTCCTAACTTGACAATTTTGATTGTAGGTCATTTCTGTCATGTTTATGTGGACTAGAGTGCAGGCAACATATGCTGCAAATTTTTGGAATGAAGCACTAAATAAGCGGTTAGGGACTGAGGTATCGTGCTTAGTCCTCTGTTACTTTTATAAGTCTATAACTGTTACTTTATGAGAAATAGTGAATCCCCCATCTTCCCGCTCTCTCTCTCTCTCTCTCTAATAAATGATTTTGGACTTTCACCAATTCAGGATCATGGGAAGATATGGGTTAATTAGATAATCTGTGATGGTGGAGTTGTTTGGATTAGGTGAGACTTTGCATGAGCTGATGCATTTATTATTTTGAACTCTACCTATTTCCGTAGGATTTGGATTTGTATGGAATTTTAGAGGAGACTGAAAGGCGTGGCATAGCCTTTGATCAATTACTCACCATCCCAGAACAAGATGAATGGGTATACAGTAATGGAAAGTTAACAACATGTGTTTCCTTTGTCCTTGAGATGTATAAAGTGGCTGGAGTCTTTGGTCCTATTTCTAACTCAATCCAAGCAACAGAATTCACTGTAAGTATCAGTACTTTTGTCTTCCTTTAATTTCAATATTGTTTTGACTTGATCTTACAGGGTATGACATGACTTTTTATTTACAGATTCGTGATGCCTACATGCTTAAAATTTTCGAGAACAACCAAACTCGCCTGCCTAGTTGGTGCAACAACGAGAATGACCGGCTTCCATTCTGTCAGATTCTTGGTGAGTATTGGATGGAATTGCCACATTATAACACCATAGAGCCATATGTCAACATGAATGAAAATTGCCCATCCTTACCTCCAATTTATGATAGGCCCACGAGATGTTAAGTTTGATTGCAATCTGCTTGTAGACTAGTGCTCCCACTCACGTTTGTATCAAATGCTAAGACGCCTTTCTGGAATTGGTCTACAACTGTACTAGCTCTATTTATGCTTCCAGATTCCTGCTAGATATACTCAATTTCTGTAATAATATTTTCAATGTTACGAAAGTCAACGACATTTATGTACTAGTTTTGTTACATTACGCATTCGTGATCACAAACATCTGAATCAGTGCTTTTGGAATTATTGCAAGCGAGCTGGAACTCATGTCAGCGGCAAGCTTTTTGATCACGTTGTTCATTTTACGTTAGACATTGTTTGGTGGTCGTTTTGGGAGATCTAACCTGGCAATACCTGCTCGTCTAATTAGCCTAGGAATCGTCGTTTTAATCGTCAAATCATTGTTTTTAAAAGGGAGACTCGTTGTAGAAGGATTGGCTTGAACTTTGGGCAAGCTTGCCTAGGAAAGCTGGTTCGGCTTTAGATTTGGGTAATTCTAAGCTTTTAAGTCATTGACAATTTTGTAAATGAGTTTGATAAAAAAATGTCTCATATTTGGTTAGTTAATATCGATTATAACATGATAATTTTTATATTTTACATATGTTTAATATGAAAAGATACAACAAGAAATTCTTAGTCTATTTATACAGCTAGCAGCAATATTTATTGTAGGCCGGTCTTTTTTTTATCTTTCTAAACTCTAAAGCCGAAGGTTTAAATATTTTCTACTACTAGTACGTGACTTCGATACATTAGAAATAATAATAATAATAATAATAATAATAATAATATTATTATTATTATTATTATTAGCAATGAAAATATTTGGACAGCGGATGAAAAAATATTCCAAAATCTAAATCAAATTTCTCCATCCCAAAACTCCTCGATTGTCTTGAAAGGTCCATATTGGGAGGTAAAAAGTTCTCCATCGCATCCCCTGCTTTGTGGGAGTTCATGGATCCTTTTCAGCTCGTCCTCGCTCAATGACCAATTGAATATCTCAAGGTTTTGCTTCATCCTCTCACCATTGAAGCTCTTTACTAATATACTCGCACCTTGTTCATATCCCCATCTCAGACATATCTGTTTTTTGATTAGCAATCAACCTTTTACATTGTCTTCCATTCATCCAAAATTTCAAAACAGATAGAGAAAAGGAGATAAAACCATAGCTAGAGGAGGATCCAGTAGCAAAGGTAGGGCGTTCATAAGGCACCCAAAAAATTGAAAAACCAGATAATTTAAAAGCAAATTTTTTCTGGACACTTTCAAAAATCTTCTTTGAACACCCTTTTCGAAGATAAAAAATCCATCGTCAATTTTTAATTTATCTATAGTATAAGTAGACACTCTAAAAAAATTCTGGATATCCCACTAGCCATAGCACTACTACAACTTTGGCTAAGGAAAAAAGCACCTGAGCAACTGTCTTTCCTTTTGCCTTGGCAATTTCCTGCAGCACTTCACACTCCAGAACTCTATTGGTGCCCCAAGGGGTCCCTGCGGCTCCCAATGGAGAGTAACCTTCTAAAAGGATCCCATTTGCATTGCAAAACTCTCTTAGCTTCTTTTGGTTCCACAGCGGATTGAATTCCACCTAGCAAAAATTGTTAACAACTTCACCTATCTCAACTCCAATGTTCAAACCAGATTGAATGCGAGTGTGTATCAGGGATAGGTATACCTGATTAACATCCGGAGGGATCTCTGCAAAGGAAAGGATGTCAGCTAATTTTTTGCAGGAAAAATTGCAGACACCAATGGACTTTGTGAGGCCAAGCCTCTGGCAATCTTCCATCGCTGCCCACACGGAACCGAAATCCATAGGGAGTAAGTCTTCCTTCCTTATCGGTAATTCGTAAATCCCTGGCTTTATGCTAATAGGCCAGTGAATAAGATAGAGATCGAGGTACTCCAACTTGAGATTTCTTCATGAAAAACAGTTTAGACAAAGAATTTACTATGTCAGTGGTCAATATATATGTATCGAGACGGAGGAAATGCATGCAACTAAGAGGGCAATATATATCTTACTGTAAGCTCCTGTGAAGAGCAGGGAGAACAAGTTCTCCATGACCATCGCTGCACCACAGCTTCGAAGTGATGAAGAGCTCTTTTCGAGATTTAATTAAGCCAAGCGAAATTGCTCCTTTGATTGCTTCACCAAGCTGCTGCTCTGTTCCGTATATGGAAGCTGTATCAAAGTGCCTATAACCAAGCTCAATTGCTTGGAGAATCGCCTGCTTTGTAACTTGTGGTGGTACGAGTGGGTAGACTGCCGTGCCAAAGCCCAAACGCGGCATTCTCTGCCCACTTGAGCTCAAAACCTGTTCTGGAATCCTAAAAAAGGTTGCCTCCAAACTGCTTTCCATCTGCTTAATTTGCCCTGTTGAACTAGTTTTGCCAACAACTCTAAGTTCTGCTTTTGTTTCTGTCGAAATGTGAATAAATCAAGTGCAAAGCCCTGGTATTATAAAGGAAAGGCTGAGCTTGTGCACAAACAAAAAAAGATAAGAGGCTGAGCTTGTGCACAAACAAAAAAAGATAAGAGGCTGAGCTGTTTCGACTTCTTGGATGTTATAAGACTTTTGACTACGCGCGAGGGGCATGATGTGAGCCCTTCACCCAAACTTAGATTATCGAAGTCCATGTTATCTTTAAAGGTAATATTCTGTAATATTTTAAAATTATATATTTGAACGTAATATTAAAATTATTATATTATAATTAAATAATATTAAAAATTATGATACAATTACAATATTATTTGAAATTCTACTTTTAATTAATAAAAATCTTTTATATATAAATAAAGATGTTATGTATTCTTTTTAGAATATTAACAATTTACAATATCTTATTTTTAATATTGCATTTAACTGTAATTAAGGAATATTATAAAATATTACCTTTAGCATTCAATCAGCTCGGTGGTTGAGAGAAAAAGAGAGTACGAAATATGCTTCAATTAGTCTTCTGAGAGCTATGCTCTGTAGAAGTAAGCCAGTATTGTATATGCAAGCGAGTAGATCTCAAGACAGTACGTCGGCTGACCTTTAAGGAGTAGTTAGAGTTCCCGTAGAAGTCAGTTTAGTCATCACAAAACAATGAGTACAGTAGCAAATTTAGACAACCTATGGCAGAACCTGTGTTTAACAGAAGAAGAAAGAGAGGGGGTCGAAACAACGGTGGGTGAAACAGGAAACAAGGCGGATAAAACGGAGGCATGGATGGTTGGCAAGCTGCTCGCATACCGACCGTTCAACAAAGAGGTAATGAAAACAACGCTAAAACTAACATATGGAGGATTACAAGAGATGTGGACATAGCAGATCTAGAACACAATTTATTCTTGTTTAAATTTTCCTCAGTGACGGATAAGAGGAGGGTTTTGGAAGGATCACCATGGAGTTTCGACAAACAGCTGCTATTATTTCATGAGTACAAAGTGGAGCTGAAGCCTAAAGACTATGTATTTTCACATGCATCATTTTGGATTAAGGTCTATGCATGGCCTGCCGCTTGGGATGAGAAACCAAGAAACAGCAAGAAACATAGGAAGTAAAATCAGTTCACACACCTTTGTTGCTCAAGTAATATTGTTATTAAGAGGTTTTGGAATGAAGGCGCCCTCCATTGGTACCCATGGATTTGTAAACACCTTGATATGCACCCCCTTCCCCACATGCCACCTTACCCCCATATTTAACACCTCTTTGGCTTTACATAAACTTCTCCATGTATAGAATGAATGGCCCCACATCCGCCTCAAAGAAAGTGTTAGTGGGTGTCATAGCGTATAGATCCATTGATCTATTGCTAAACATGGATTAAAAGAGTCACCACTAACCTTTTTTATTAAGGTGTGATTAGCCACCTAACAAAATCTATTCCATTTAAAGAGAAGTCTCAATATTAATTTAAGTATATTTAAATAGTAGATTTTTATCCACGAAAATCAGATTTTAAGTTCAGGAGTGTAGTTACATGTAAGGAAAGATTATAACACCTTCACAACGCCCATCTAAAGAATAGTATCAGTTTAATTTCAAATTATCTAAGTCTTAAAATATTCTTGTAAATTTTGCCAAATTATTTAATTATTGAAAACTAACCCTAAATTTGTTCCAATAGTTTAGTAGCAATTTAAGATAATTTTTTCATCTCAAAAGTATTCATGGAGACTAGTATCCCACTCTGAAGAGACTCTGTCGTCGAGTTCATTAATATATTTTTATTCAAAAAAATAATTAGTAAAATTTTTCAATAATTTGATAAGATTTACTTTAATGCAAATATCTCAATAGTTTGATAAGATTTCTTTATAAATTTATTTTTAGAAAATGTATTAAATCTTTCAATAATTTGGTAAGACTTAATATAATATGCAAATCTTCTAATAGTTTAGTAGGATCAAAACAAAATATTTTATTAGCAATAATTTTTTATAAAAATTGATTTATGAGATTTGCAAGAATGAAAGATTCACAAGATTTCAAGTTTCGCAGAGATTCTAGATTCACAAAGGTTTCAAGTTCACAAGAAATTCAAAGATTGATAAGAAATTCGAAGACTCACAAAAGCTTCAGTTTCGTAGGAAATTAAGGTTCACAAAAAATTCAAAGATTTGTAAGAAATTCAAAGATTATCAACAAATTCAAAGATTTGCAAGACCTTTAGTTTTATAAGAAATTCAGGTTCACAAGAAATTCAAAGGTTGCAAGAAATTCAGATTCACAAGAACTTTAAAGATTTGTAAGAGATTTAGGTTTGCAAAAAAGTTCAAGTTCGAAAGAAATTCAAAGATTCACATTCAAAAGATCCAAAATCTAAAGCTTTATGTTTAAAAAATTTAGGGATTCACATTAAAAATTTCAACGTTCAAAGATTCTTATTTGAAAAATTTTAGGGTCTCATATTCAAAAGTTAAAGATTTTCATTCAAAAATTTTGGGATTTACATTCGAAATTTCAAAGATTCACATTTAAAAAATTTTAAGATTTACATTTGAAATTTCAAAAATTCTCATTTGAAAAATTTTGGGATTCACATCTAAAAGTTAAAGATTTTCATTGAAAAATTTTAGGATTCATATTTAAAATTTCAAATATTCACATTAAAAAAACTTTAGGATTTTGCATCCAAAATTTAAAAAATCTCATTTGAAAAGCTCATTTAAACAAAGGCTTTATAACTTTAAAAGTTTGGAAAGTTCATCAATAAAACATCTCATTATGAAAGATATTCCTCATTTGAGGATTCAAAAGTAAAAAAATTTCCCCAATCACAATCAAATTCTTGTACGCAACAAATTTCATGCAAATGCCTTCTAAATAATGCAAATGCCACAATCAAAATTCTCACTAAATGTTGCAAATACCAATGTCTTACTATAATTCAAATGTTCTTTACATGATGCAAATGCATGCTCCAACAATGATGTAAATATGTTCCCCAACAATGATGCAAATGCAATTATCACAATGTATGTAATGCAAATGTCACTAAATCAATATTAGGGAAGGCAAAAACACTCGAACCCGTCGGGTTTTGACCCAACCCGACCCGACCCCTTAGGGTCGATTTTTTTTTGAAAATCGGGTATCAAGTCGAGTAGGGTCGGATAGGGTAAAAAAAATTTCGGGTTCAGGTCGGGGTCGGGTTTTAGGCAAACCCGACCCTACCCGACCCGATATATATAAAAAAATTATTTTTTTAATTTTATATTTAATTATATATATTTTTATATATATATATATTTAATTTTATATTTATATTTAAAATAATATTTTATTAATTTCGGGTTGGGTCGGGTCGGATTTGATTTTATACAATGTCGGATCGGATCGGATTCGGGTATTAAAAATAAAAAGAAATGTCGGGTCGGGTACAGGTTCGGGTATTTTATATTTAAAATCGGGTTGGGTTCGAGGCGAGCAAAAACCCGCCCCGACCCAACTCGTTGCCATCACTAATCAATATCATGAAATTATAGTCGTGGAAACAAAGTTCTCAAGACTCTACCATTCTTTCTTAGCTTCTCAATATTAACAAACTCAAAACAAATTATGTCAATTAATCTATGTTATTTTTCTCATATAGTCATAACTCACAAGTCAAATCAACTAATCTATCATTATATTCATCAGTGGGTCACCTTGTTTACCCTTTTTAAATCATTTTCTCCAGCTTCTTTCACTTCTTTCATCTTAGATTTCTTTTAAAAGAATGAAAAAAAATCTTTTACGAACATTGTCATTCATTTATTTACCATCATTCTAATTCATGACAAATATGATACATTTCCTTAATTCATTGAGGGGATGTAAACTTGGTAAAGAATAAGAAAAATGAATCTTTATTATTGAAAGAAAAAAGGTATAGTCAATAACAACTCAAATATAAATGAAAGCAAAATGCTGTGACTATGTAAATAGGATATCAACATCCAGAATAATGATTGTTTAGACAATTTTGAACTCAAACTTAGAATCCTTGCTCAAAAACACATTCCATCAATATCCTCGATCTTTGAGTCAATCATCATCCTCATTCTTGAGATTTTTAAGTGAAGCTATTTGTCTAAGTTTCTATTTTTACTTAAACCACCCTTTCATGTTTTTAGTTTAAATATTCATTTTTTCTCTTTTTTTTTTTACTTTTTACTTTTTTTTATTTTTTCATTTTCTTTGCAAACCCCTTTCTCATCTTTTTTTCTCATTTCTCTTTCCCTTTGATCCATCAATGATTCTTTGATAAAAAATCAAAGTAATCCAATGGTAAATCTGCCTTAATTCAATTTATGATTTTCTAATTTGAGTATTCACATTCGATCAAAATAAAATTTTAAAGGACGTAACGTAAGCTAGGGTGAGGGGTTATGAAAGAAATGAACAAAATAGGCTTAAACTGTATTTGAAGGGTTAGCAAACTAAGAACCATTTCTTTTGTTAGCCTTGAATTGATCCTTATTTTGAAATGACAAAACATTAACTAAATAAGCTTGATCAAGATTTTGAAAAAGATTTATTTAGTACATGTTCTAAAGTTTTATATTTTGGTACTAAATAAATAATATATTTTTTATAGTGTAAACAAACCTTTCTTTGTTTTCATAATTCTCAAATCAAATCTATCTTTAAAGATTATTTATTTGAGCTTAAATGAAAGTATAATTGTTGTCTTTAAAGTGAATTTGTTCATTTTGGACTCAATACAATTTTAATAACATTGGTTTTGAGAAATAGATTAGCTTAAGAAAGTTGTTTTACAGGAACAAAGTTTTCTAACATTGAACCTTTTTTTATTTTTTTTGTATTAATTCACAAAGCTTTAATATTTGAATTTTATATGGTTGGAAAGCTCTTTGAGTCTATTTTCTATATGATTAAACAAAATCAAAATCAAAATTTTGTAAAAAAAGATTTTAAACTTTTACTAGACATTTTTGTAGTTGTTTAAAAACTAGACAATAGGTAGATTTCAAATTCACTATAATTCATAAAAAAAAGAATTAGGTGATGAATTTTATATGGATAAAA